GGTTCCTGCTCACTGGCTGAGCGCGGTGCGGGCGCAACACCGAGGGTTGCGATCCCGTTGCCAGTCCCCGGTACAGGCGCGACACCGAGGGTTGCGATCCCGTTACCGGTCAGTAAAAAAGACAAAAAGGAAAAAAAAAAAAACATTTACCACTTGTTTTATCTTTTTGGTACAATGGAAAAAATGTGGCATCATTTCCTCATAGTGGTTGTATGTGGGGGATCATTACCACGAAAGTATCATAATAATCATTTAAAATATATTTTAGTCTTGCAAGACTGCTATGGCATTTTAAAATCTTTGCTTATCCAAGCATTTTTGTCATTTTTAAAAGCAAATTACTATTTCAAAAGGTTCCTATCCAGAATATTTATAGGTAATTTAGCATAGGAGCAAATGTGAGGCCAATTAAAAAAAAAAGGCCAGAAAGCTAAGTATGAAAGGAAAAAAAAATGGTAAATTTTAAATAGCATCTTGCTACAGATTTCCAATTCAATAAACACCAGGAGTAAAGGGTTTTCACCCCAAAGGAGTATTCCACACAAACTCTGAACTCTGGATATTGAAACTTCTAGAAAAACTGAAGACCCTGAGACACATGCAAGTCTTCTGGCAAAAATACATTTTAATTTTCCAGTATTCCTCCTCCCACAAAACTCCAGAAGATACCTTTAGTAGGCACAGGGTTTAAATTTCATATTCAGAATTTACACAGAGCACAGCAGCAGCAAATAATGATATACATATTATTCAGAATGGATAGTTTTCCCTCACAGAATTCCTGGTTTGTCATAATAGGCTTGTAAAAACTACCAAGTTTTATTATGGCAAACTAATTTACCTAGCAGTTGAGTCTGAAAGGTCTGGAAGCTCTGCTGACATCAGTATCATTCACACTGGAAGAAGTAATTTATGTCTAACCAGTGAAATATCATTAATCAAACTCAAACTTCCACTGAAAACATTTCAGAGTGCACCCTATAGTCAAAGTAATCTACACAGAAAGGAAACAGATATTGTGATTGCAGAGATCACAGAGTCTTAAGTTATAAGGTAATTTCAAATTTTCCAAGAATTAGTTTACAAAATGGTTTGAAGGTCACAGAAAACAGATAAATGCATATCACTCTACCCCTTTGGTAGGCAAAGGATATTTTCTTTTTCCTTGTATTACTGCAAATACTGATGCCTGATGCCCTTAAGAAACACTGAAACCATTATCTTCAAATATAGCTTACCCCCAGAAGAATGATGTATACATGAAAAATTATCATTAAAGCTTTAAGTTCAAAGTCAAGAAATAGACTATTTTTAAAAATACATGGTAAGGAAAAAAATCTATGTTGAACTAAGAAATACTTTAGCAAGGTTACAAATGACTAATAACTATGCACAACAATCTTTTAGTATCTATTAATTTTTTCCTTTGCAAAAAATCATTTACAGAAATTCAAAAAGTTCATTCTGTTATAAATGCTAGGCTATATATTTGATCCAACCTGCTTCCTTTTAGTACTAGCACTTCAATAGGTTTTAACTTTATTTTCTAAGTGTTTAAATATGTATCATCTTAAAAGGAAGGTGGTATTTATTGTTGCCAAGATAAATGGGAATTGACAAGCCAACATAACATTCCATGTCATTTTTGATTGCTATAATATTGCAGCAATTTGCAGAAAGAATCGAACTTATTTTAGAGAAGGTAAAAACCTAAAAGATCTTGCTGAAAGGAAAATACTAGATCACCAGTTCAACTATTTCAAATGAAAACTTCCTATTGGAGATTCTAAGTAACATGGACATTTAAAAATATATGGCAGTAGCCTTCCGCCCCAAATATTTAAGTCTCATCTACGGAATCTATCATTTACAAAGGTTTATACATAATTACAGATTAATTTGGTGTCTTTCATATTCAAAATTTAAAAAAATTCATGGGAATATTTGTAACCATAATGAGCAAAAAGGAAATCTCCATTCAATCCCATTCTGTCTCTATCACATAAGAGCTCAGAATTAAAAATGAGTGTGACAGTACTTATCATCTCCTGTCTGCATTACAGAGATTTGTTTTTCCATTAGTTTTTTGCCCACACAGACCACATTGCAAAAGTATATAGTGGTCTAGACCCCAAAGTCTTTTATAGACTATGGCAATAAAAGAATTCTAATTAGTTAAAACTAATTTATTCTTCAGATAAGAGACTTGTCTGCATGACTATTTTCATGGGGGGAGGGCGGCAGGAGGTTGCTATCTATTTGGACTAGCAGAATACACAACCAAGTGGAGACTTACTCTGACATTTTCCAGAACATTTTAGAAGTTCCCAGAACAATTCTGGAAGTTCTTGTTTGTTTATGCCATATATGAAACGCAACCCACATTTATAGTCTCAACATTAAGAAAATTGAGAATTCAGCAGTAAAGTGCTAACATGGAAGAGGAAAGTTGTAAAATGTACTAAGGTATGCTAATAACTCCAGTTATTTTCAAAAAAACATTCAGACTGCTTCAAATTCTATTCAGAAAACTCTCCAAGTTTTTTTTTTTTTTTTTTTTTTTT